CAAGTCCTTTGGAGTGTGGAGGCCAGACTGGGGGTTGACCATAGCAGATCTAGTTAGACAAGTTGCCCGGGCATGAGTGTCTCTAGAAGAGCGCCCTGCAGAAGCCGGCTCCTGGCCAATATCCTTCTCCCAGGGTCGGGTCTCTGAGGTCCTCCAGTTCCCACCCCCCTGCCCCAGATTCAGGGCTCACTAAGATGACCCAACCCACAGTCCTCCTGGCCCAAAGTGAGGACACACCAAGCACCGCATTAGTTCCCACTGCCGTCCTGGCCAGGGTTGAGTGCAGTAAGCCCCCCTATGTGTGAATGGAGCCGGTGCCTGCCACACCTGGTGTGAGACTCCGGTCCGTTTCCTACCTCAGTGTCCCCATTACGAGAACTCTGGCTGACACCCTCAGGTCTCCCCTCCACTCCAGACCCTCCTCTCTGCCTCCCACTTGCCCCACCGGAGCCCCAGAGGAAGGACGCAAGTCGCCACAGGAGTGCTGAGAATGGCTCTTTATTGGTGAGGGCACAGGGGAATGAGCACCAGGCCACTCACAGGGTCCTCCTGGCTGGGCTCGGGCTTTTGTTCCTGTCAGGTGTGGCAGCATCTTCTGAGAGGGAGACCCTCTGGGGGGCACAGCAATGAGAGCAGTCTGGAATGAGAGCACATGGGTCAGTCGGGCACTCGCTGAGGGGGTTACTGGGTGCATGGCACTCACCAGACACTGCTGCCCAAGCCCTTCCCATGGAACCCTGCAGGCCAGTGGCCTTGGAGAGGGACCACAGCTGCGCCTTGGCGTATTTTGTGGTTCTTGGACTGACCATCCTCATGCCCTCTCCTTCCCTCGGATGAGCAACAGTGGCAGGCTTTTGGTGGCCAAGTGGGAGGCAGGGCTCAGGGTCAGACTCAGACTCAAGGTCAGGGTCTGGACATGATCTGGACGATGGATGAGTCACGCCCAGTGTATGAGAATCCCGGGATGTTCTGGGCAGAGTCGGAGCTCAGTGGGTGTGTGGCTGTGGGTCAGTGTGGGAATGTGACTGGCATCAGGTTCAGCACTGGCAGGGTCAGCTCAGGCAGGACCAACATCAGGGCTCAGTCACCACCTCAGAATGAAGAGGCCCAGCTGCTCTGGCCTCACAGGCCTCCTGCAGGAGCCCCAAGCTCCGGGTCGCCCGGGGAGAGGCCTCACCAGCAGGTGGTCCTCCTGGTCTGTCTTCTTCAAGGCTGGACTC